TAAGTAAAAGGGATTTTAAGGTGGCAGCAGAGAGCAGTGAATATGGCACTGCTTCTCACTTCCCTAATGAGCTGGGCCAGCCTTTCCTGGGAAAAATGGCCTTCTTAGAGGGGATGGTGGGCAAATATTTGCATATACCACGTCTAGCTGATATGGAATAGTTTGCTAATTGTACAGGATGCACCCTACTAAAGTGCTCCAGTGTAATCCTGTGTGACTCTGCTTCTGCTCTCTGAAGACTGCATAATGGTCAGGACTTGTGTGTCCACTGTGCCAGTGTGTACCCGTGACGGAAGAGGCGCATGTCATGTGATGGACCACACCTTACTGAACGTTCTTCACTTAGAAACTTACTTCGTGAGAAACTAGAATGTATAAACCTAATGAAGACTCACTAGGTGAAGTCTCATAGGTGTTTAATCAGCACTGGGGAGTTTGCAAAGTCCATGTGCAGATTTAGAAGTTAGTTTTGGGTTTGGAAATAACAGAAGAAATACTGAACAGAACGCACAGTACGTCTGACATGGTGCCCATCGCTTCGGGTGCTCTTTTATGTGACACTTGATTCTAGCTCCTTGAAAACACGACTACCTGAATTTCACTGAGATTCTTATCCTAAGGGGTAGTCAATGGGAGTGGATGAGATGGTGAAATCCCTGGCTGTGCCTATAGGCTGGCTTGCCTATAGGGTCATCAGGTAAGAATTGTCTTACCAACCTCTGAGACCTGGGCTAGTAAGGTGCTTGGAGCAGAGCCTAGCACGTAGCAAGCATGTTGTACCCGTTAGCTGTGCAGCCTAGAGGGCAGACCAGCATCTCGCTAGAAGATGGTGCTCTCAGATCGATTTCATTGTCACGTATTCATAAGAATAAGCAAGTTCTTCAGTCCCGCAGGCTTCTGTTTACCCAGATAGCGTAGCAGTTAGGAAACAGCCAGCCTTGCTGGTCTAAATCCACCAGGAAGTAACTGAGCAATGCTGAGCAAGTTCCCTGTTCAGGCTCTAGCTTCTGCATCTGGCGTGGGTGACAGTAGGAACCTCCTCAAGGTTGTGAGCATTAAACGAGATAATGTCAGTGTAGCAGGTAGCCTGGGTAGTGCACTCAACCCGGGGTCGTTTTTGTTGTTGTCACCTTCATTTCCTATGTGAAGAAATGATCTCAGAGGTGTGCGTGCTTGTTCTCGAGTGCAGGATACAGCAGCAGAGCAGGTGCAGAGCCAGGTCCCCATGTCCACCTGGAGCACCACCCGTCCCTCTGTGTGGGTCCTGTCACTCGAACACCTACTGCATTGTGTGGCATCCTGTTGTTTCATCACCTCCCACTTCTGGAACCAACCGGCTTTCCTCTCTACCCCAGAGTAGGTGTGAGAATGGGAGATGTGTCAGCCCTTTCGGCTCGTCTCAGGGTTCAGAAGAAGAGAGGCGTGTTGGCTTGAAGCTCACAGCTGATCATTGTGGCTTTCCCCTGGGCATCATCCTATTTTACTCATTGGTGAGCTGCGGCTCTGAGGGCCCTGATTATTTTTCCCTAGTTTAAGAGTTTGAACTCTTGTCTCAGGGCCTGGCAGTCCGTTTTCCCCCATAGGGGGAGACATTTAGACAGCGTCATTCTGGCCACTGACACTCTTGTCCTTTCTGAGCATGGTTTCATGTCGTGGTCTGGATAGATGTTCTTCCTTTATGTGTTTAACAAACAGATGCAGGCACTGCCTGGGAGATCTTAGATGTGGACTATCCATGCTGTAACTGTAAGCAGGGTGGCTAGTTGGGGACCGGGGCTTTCAAAGAGTCCTTCAGGTCTTCCGGGGCTAGATGTGGATGAGGTCGGTGACAGAACCTCTTGCTTTCTTCAGAGCCAATCAATTCCGATTTAAATGTACGTACGTTATTCAGCAGTTGTAAAGCCACATGTTCAACCATGAAACAACGATGAGTGTCATGTTCTAGGAGTAGCAGGATGCTGTTTGTCCAAAGAAAGCAAAAAGTGGCCTTTGGGGTTTTGGCGGGGGGGTTGTTTGTTTATTGCTGGTGCCACGAAATTCAAGTGGATAAATTTGTAATAAAATAGACAATATGAGCAAAGAATAGAGTGGAGTCAAAGGTGAGGAAGATCTGAGGCAGAGTTAGTTAACATCTCATGCCAGACACAGACACAGGAGCAGCAGGAAGGAGACTTAGTTATATCGTTTTTTATCTGTGGCGGGGGCGGGGGGGTTATAGACAATGATGGACTTGGTTTTAAGCATGTTTACTGTGAGGTGAGCCTAGGGCATCTGAGTGGACATGTCTAGTGGATGTTTGTATTTTGCCTGAGGTCAAGGTCCATGTCAGGATGCTCCACGTCCTTCCTAGGAGCCATGGGTACAGGCATTGGGCAGCTTAGATCCCAGAGTGCCCATTCAGATGATGTAAAGGCCAGTCAGACTGTTCACAGCCTCCATGGAATGGAGAGCACAGTGAAGCCAAGGCCCCCAGCAGCTTCACCCGGGCAGCGTGTCTGCGGGAGTGTACTGATCCTACCCTGATCCTGCCCAGGCCTGCTGGGCTGGCCTTCCTATTGCTCTATCAGATGCCTTTTCATAAATTCTTTTCTGCTGCAGTTGGAAAGAATTGGATTCGGTCTCCTGTATCCATGAGCTCTGATCAGTACAAGGATCCCATGGAGGATCCCCTGACCATTTGCAGTGCTGGTTGGTATTCACCAGAGACTTCCTAGTGAGAGAGGGAATGCCCCTGGCTTTATCACCGATGGACTGCATTATGCCCAGTATGAGAATATAGCTCTGTGCCCATTGCGCTGAGTTACTTACTAGACAAGCACCATCTCTGCCTGGATGTCTGATAAACATTCCACAGTTTCTGATATTGCCCCCAAATCTACTTCTCCTTAGTCATTCTCATTTCAAAAAACAACAACAAGCAAAGCCTCTCTGTTAACTAGCCAATTCTTCATGCCAGATGCCTGACAGCCACTTGTGAGCCCTTCCTTGGAGTCCTTCATCACCTCCCTCCAGCCACGGGTGCTGCTGGGATCACTGAAGATAGCACAGCTAACCACTTGACTCTCCTCCCCTCCTTCCACACAGATCAAATCACCATGATATCTTTACTCATAAATAACTGTTCCTTCTCCAAATCTGCCCCCATTGAATCTTCTCTGCCCTTGAAATCTCTCAACAAAGCACGCCGAGTGATTCTTTAAAGTTGTAAATCAAGCTCTGTTATTCCCTTCTTTGAAGATCTTCTGGTGGCTTCAGATCCAACCTACATTTGAAAAATAACCTCCTGACTGTGGCTTCTTGGGCCATATGTGGTGCCTCCCCAGCCTGGCCTCTCTTTCGTCCAGCATGCCAACTTCCCCTCTGTGTGCTGGGGTGCTCTTCCCCTCAAGGTGACCAGTGTTGTCTTCCTGACCTTAATGGCTCTGCTCAGATGTGCCTTCTCCAGGGAGGCCTTTCCTCTCCACGCCGTCATACCATCCTCATCCCCTCTCCCGTTCATTATATTTTCTTCATGGCGTTTTTCACACATGAAGTTCACTAATTTATTTGTCTATATAATTGTGTATTGCCCATCAGCTCCATGAGACTACAGAGCTTCTTGTCTTAACACATAACAGATAATAAATACTTGTTCAACATATGAATGAAATAGTTAAAGACTAAAGTTACTTAACCTTTTGAAGCCTCCGTTTGTTAGATGAAATGCTGTCCTCTAGATGTTGGGAGGATAAACTAAAATATTGCTATGTAAGGCACTTAGCACAGTACTTGGTATATGGTAAGTGTTCCGTAAATAGTATTGTTTTTGTTATTGTTAATAGTATGTAAATTTGTGTCAACACTTGATCAGGTGTTACTTACTTTCTCATTTTGCATAGATACCAGTAGCATGTAGTTATAGAAAAGAAAGGTTGCGTTTTTGCCTATGAGATATCTGTGGTAAGTTTTATAAGTCATTATCAGCATTACCTGAGAGCATTTTCAAACTTTTCCCTTCTATTCCCCAGAGATTGTATCAGAGTTCTGTTGGTGGAGGGTAGATATGCACTGTTGTAATTTTCCCAGTTTGGTTGTCAACAATCTCATTATTACCCAAACTGAAGAAAGGAACAGTGGGACACGGATGCAGTTTACCTTTGGTCCCAACTGTCTTCAGATTTAGGATTGCTTCCTAAAAACAGAAGGGTGATGTGTGGTGTGATCCGAGATACAGAGGGTGCTCATTTGTTCTGGAGACTGGAATGCTGAGGCCTAGGCACAGGAGCACGCCAGCTAATGCTGGACGACCAGCAAGTGACTTCAAATTCCTCTGCTGGCGTAACAGGAATGATCACCAGATGAGACCGGCCAGTTCACCTGGATGGAAGGCAGATGGGCAGATGGGTCATGATCCAAGTGGGCCTCTGGTCGGTCTTTTTTTATGCTGGGAACAGGATTAGCTACAGATTGATAATATATTTTCTGGGACAGCAGTTGTAGATCTGAACCTGGAGACAGGAATGCTCCATGGGGAGACTTTTTCCTTTGCAGGGCAGTAACTGTTATATAAAGGAAAGTAAATGGCTTGATGACTGCCCTGGACATGGAGGACTCTTTGGGAGCAGGTCCACTCAACTGATCAGTCTCTCTCCCTCTCCCACCCCTGCCGCCAGCTCTTCAGTACTGTCTTTGAAGCATTTTGGGGGTTGACTATTTCCAGAGATAAGTACAGAGAGCATTCTTCAATGACTATAGTTCAGTTCTAAAGATTGCAGCGGATTGCTCAGTAAAATCTAGTGCAAAGACATTTTTTCTTGCAGAATATTACTTAAATTACATTTGAAAGATAAAATGTTTCTTACTGTATGTTTAATCATGCATATGTACACATATAAATATATGTATAATGTAATCAGTTGTTGAATTTTGGAATTTTATATTCTACAACCTGTCATTTTAATTTGAAGAAGTTTAAGTATGGTCTAATGGAAATATTCTTCTTTTTTCTTTTGCTCTATTAGTGCTGCCAACTGTCCCTATTCAGAAATCAATTTGAATAAAGACCGTATTTTCCCCGACCGCTTAAGTGGTGAGATGCCTCCAGCTAGTCCATCATTTCCAAAAACTAAAAGGACAGACACGAATGAAAGTTCTTCATCACCAGAAATGAGGTAATTAAAGCAATTAATAGTAACATTGTTTAGAAGGACTGTGATTGAAAGAGGTTTCTATCTTCGCTGTTTTGTGTTCTATGGCCGTGTTTTCTTACAGATTGTTGAAAATGTACCTAATTTTAATGTGAAGTGATTGTAGGGATCAGTATTTTGACTTTAAAGAAAAATTAGAGTTTATAAAAGCATGTCCAAATCGGGCAGGATTTTCTCTTAATTATTTTTCTTTTTTTCTTTCATTCTCCTTTCCTTTTTCCTACCCCTTCATTCCCAACTTCTTCTTTTATTTGAACCTGCTTGGTATTAGGGATTTGGAAATTCAAGCCCTTTTACTGCCTGCCAGTTCATACTTCTGTGTGAATTGACCACTACTCCTATAGAGTCAACCTTTTTTAGAAGGTGTGGAAAACGCACATTATTTATTTTGTAATCCTCATTTTCTGTCACATACTTGAATATACAGTATTTTACTTAATTGTTAAATTACATAATAAGTTTAGTCATTTAATTTTGATTTCACTTATAGAGCTGCAGTGTTTAGCCACAGTGGATTAGTAAGTAAAGAACCAAATCTGTTTGATATATTTTTAAAATAAGTGACCCATGCCCTTAGATGAACAGGATACAAAATTAGATTAGGAGAAAGATGCTTCTTAATAGTTAGGTTTTAGGGTTTCTTTTATGAAGTATTTTGAAACTTAAGGCAACATTATCCTTTAGATTTATAACTTCCATTGCTCTGCGTAAACCAGGTAGACATTTGAATTAACAAATATGATTCTAAATTCACACCAATGTTATCCAATAAATGATATGTAAAGTCAATTATTATTGTCCTTGTAACCATTATCTATTGGAAGGGGGTAAGGAGGAACCACAGCTTCTTCAATTACTACAACAGAGGAGATTTTTAAATTCATTTTTAAAAACTTTTTTGTTGAGACAGAATCTCTGTTGCCTGGGTGTGAGTGCAGTTGTGTCATCATAGCTCACAGCAACCTCAAACTTTTTCTCTAATGTTATTTTCTTGAGTAAATGCTGTCAACGATGCAAATCTTTTTGTGTTCAGTACCTTCCTAGTTACCGTTTATCATACATTAACCAATGAGAGACACAGAAACTTTGGCTATAGAAAGTTGATACCAATAAACTTCTCCCCATCTCACTTTAACACTTTGCTTTATGCCATCATTCTCCAAGCGTGGCCCTCTTCTTTTCTTTTCTTTCTCTTTCTCTTTTTCTTTCTTTGTTTTCTTGAGACTGATTCTCACTTAGTAGAGTGCTATGGTGTCATAGCTCCCAGTAACCTCAAACTCTTGGGCTCAAGTGATCCTTTTGCCTCAGTCTCTCAAGTACCTGAGACTACAGGTGCCTGCCACAATGCCCAGCTATTTTTAGAGACAGGGTCTCGCTCTTGTTCAGGCTAGCCTTGAATTCCTGAGCTCTAGCAGTCTACCCACCTTGGCCTCCCAAAGTGCTAAGATCACAGGTGTGACCCACCACACCCAGCCAAAATATGGAATGCTTCACAGATTTGCTTATCATCCTTGCACAGGGCCATGCTGATCTTCTCTGTCTCCTTCCAATTTTAGTAAACATGCGGCCAAAGCAAGCACAGCCATCTAGTTTCTTAACATAGCTCTTACTATTGGTTGTTTGGTGCAGACACAGGAGCAAATGAATAAGTAGTGCAGGCCCAGCACCGGCACACCCTGGTGCTTTCTCCTCCGTGGAAGAGGAGAACCTGCGGGTCAGGAGCGTAGGGCACTGCTTGGATTTAAATCTTAGCTTCCTTACGTGCCTTGCGTGTGATCTCAGATGAATAATTCAATAGCCCCTTCTTTGAATCTCATGGTTTATGAGGATTTTATAAATGGAAAATGTAAAGCTTTTAGAATAGTGACTAATAAGTAATAAGCCCCCAATAAATGTTAGTTTGTAGTAACAATCTTGAAAGAGGAGTTACATCTTTGTTTCATAGGGTTTCTTTTTTCCTTTGGGAGTAAATGAATGGGTGGACCATTTCTGTGATAGTCTTAAACTTTGAATGGATTGCTCAGACAAGATAATTCTTGTATTATTGAATTATATAGGCTGTCTTTTTCTATAATAACTGCTCACTTGGATATAATTTCCCACTCAGGTTTTAACAAATTTTCTTTGCATTATTCTTAATAACTTACTAAAATTTGGTTGGCAGACTTTACTTTTTATTTTTTAATGCATTTTGACACACAGTTTGCACCCCTGGGGACAAACTCTTAAGACAAGGATTTCATTTTTTAATTGCAAGTTGTTTACTCGGAAGATCAAGGAAATACTCATGTGTTAGCAGTTGACTGAGGAGGTGAGTCAGCTCAGAGGAGGTGAGGCAGCTCAGTGAGGCAGCCAGGAAGAGCTTAGTTGTCATGCTGATTACCACCAGGAACAGCAGGGACCCAGACCTGCTGGGGAAACCCTAGGAGCCAGTGTAAAGCACACCTTTTGGAGTCAGCCCACCGCAGGGAGGCAGGAGCTAAGCGTGTGAACACCAGCCCTCTCCTGCCACACACAGTAAGAAGGAACATGTTCATTCCCAGCCACCGCCCTGCTGTGCACAGTGGCCAATAGCAGCTGGAGCAGGGAAGCCCTGCAGGAAAGCAGCACAGGTAGGACAAGCAGATCCCAGGCCTCCAGATGGGCCCAAGAGGAACAGGGGGCTGCAGCCCATCCCATCCCCTGCTCCCCATTTCAGATGCCAGATACTTCCCAGAATGTGATGTGCTGGTGTTGCTTTTGATCAGGAGCTGATGGGATAGGGCTAGAGGAACTTGACCATGTGGGGAATGTATATCCTCCACCTGCTGGACAGTTAGTTGCTAGGAAACTAATGTTCCACAGCAGTCATCCCCCAGCTTGGCTTCACATCGGATCCCCCGGGACTACTTTAAACTTCAGATTTGAGGGCCTGCCTCAATCTGAATCTTCAGGCTAGAGCACTGGGGTCCATATTTTAAGGTTCTATTGGAAAGTATATCCCCCTGCTCAAAAGTTTTGGTGACATCTCATTACTGTAGAATTAAGATCTAATTCTTGATGTGCCCTACAAAGTCCAGTGTCATGTGGCACCTGTCGACCTCTCTAGCTTTGTCTCTGCAGGCTGTTTCTCAGCTTAATGCTTCAGCTACCTTGGTCCTCAGACACTCTCTTCCTTCTGCCTAGAACCTCCATCTCTATGCTCACCCTGCTAATCTCTCCTCTTCAGGCTTCTGATTAACTTTCCCTTCCTCAAGGCAGCTTTTTGCTCCCTCCAGACTGTTGGCTGAGTCCTTAATTACCTGCTTTCACATCATGCATCCTGCTGCCTTTGACACATTTTTGTAAATGCTTCTTCAGAGTCCGTGTTTTTTTTGATGATGCACGCCCTGAAGACAGAGGCCATATCTTGCCCTGTTCTCAGAGTTCCTGCAGCCGCCCATATACTACCTGGCATGCAGCAGTGACCTTGAATCTTCATCAGTCTTCAAAGGAGACATGTCTTACATAACCTAAGAGGCAGTGGCCATATGCTTTTTGTTCATGCCTACATTTTCAGCTTTCTAAGATCTCCACACCAGATATCTGAGGACTGATTACGAAATGAGATAGATTTCCCAAATGCACACCTCACTCTCTTATTAATTAAGGTGGTATTTCCCAAACTGTTTAGCTCCCTGGTGGCACACACAGAAAATGATACCAAAGAAATGACAACATTTATGTACCACGTCAAGGAAATGGATGTGGCGCCTCCCAGTCACCAGAGAGGGCCATGGAGGGCTGCAGGGCTTACTGTCCCAGGGCACTATTACCCTGGGGATTCAGGCCATCCTGGCAGAGAGGCTCTGCCCATTAAGATGGCTCCCACCTGGAGTCAGCTTGTAGATGTGCTGAATGCTCAAATCTGTTTTCCTACAGCAACTTGTCAAATGGGTGGGTTGAATTCACAGTGCCTGACTAGACAGAAATGCGGGTACATAGTCCCGTCCCTGTTACCCATTCACTCCTTAGAGGCCTGCGGAGTGCCAGTGTTGTCCTGGGACCCTCAGGGAGAGGATGGCCTCCTAGCGCTGGGCGTTGGAGCTGGCACAGCACTCAACGCAGCAGGATGGAGAGCAGAGCTCTGCCAGTGAGTGGAGTAGCTTTTCTAAGGGACTGCTGACTTAAGTCTCTGCATGTCTGCCACCAAATAAAAGAACACTTGCATTGCTCTATATATCTTAATAAAACTGTGAGTTGCAAACTTCATTTGCATCAGAATCATCCGAGGTGCTTATTTAAAATGTGCCTTTTGAGATACTGATTTAAGAAATGGAAGATGCATCATCGCAGGAATCTTCATTTTTAAGGAAAGTGACAGATGCAAGTGGTCTGTAAACCAAGCTCTCCACATCACTACTGAATGTAAACACCTTTCGCTGAGGTAGTAATTCACAGTGGATTATCGCTTGGGAAACATTGGGCATCCATCCCGCATAGCCTTATTCTCATGAAATCTGTCTTGCAGCTGCTTATAATCGTGTTAGGAATGAGGTGCTATCTCTAAAAATCACTTAATGTTTTAAGCTCCTGTATTGTTTAAGCCTACTTAGACATAACCACAGAGTCACAATAAAACATCTTTAAAATACCTGCCAAATACTTGTATTATCTTGTAAGACAAATGCCCACTGCTGAACTGATCTAGTGACAAAATTCAGTGTGTTCAGTTTGTTAACAGGCCACTGAAATGGCTTCCCGAGCTCTAGGACCAGTGTTTCCACATGAGAACGACACACAGCAGTGGCAGGAATTTCAGCCATCAATTCATTTATGTTTTTAGAACAAATCCAATTTTGTCAGTCACACCCAAAAGCCAAGTCTGTACCTTATTAAACAGATGAGAAAACAAATAGGGAACAATGAGCATATTTATATCTGTCTACTTTGCAAAACTATCACATCAAGTAGAATAAAGTTTAGAGCCAGAAATTCTAGAAGATTATGAAAGTTGATTAGTAATCTGTGGGAACTTGCTTTTACCTTCTGGGGTCTTCAGGATCAGCTTACTGTTAAACATCGGAGCAGAGGAAGCCGGTGATCAGTGATCGGGCATTCTCTGGCTTCTGTAAACTTCTCCCTTTTTGCTTGTGGGCTGCTAGGTATGAATCAGGAGCTGTGGAAGTTAAATATTCCAGCTCTTGGGAATCTGAGTCAAATCTGTGTAGTTGTTTGGGTGCACCCAAGAGAGGCTGGATTTTAGTGAAAACACTCACGGTTCTAATGCCAACTGCTGTGACACCAAGGCAACCATTCAAGGTGTAAGGAAGATGACTGTGTTATTGTTACACGCCTGTGAAGTTGTTGGAACAATATCCTAACAAGATCTTATTTTATCTCCTTGAATATCATCAATTCTTGACTCAGGAGACTCTTTTATAGAGAGCAGAAGAGCAGTGACGGCTTTTCTCTTTCTACAGCAACAACAAAGAAGCAGTGCAGTCTCCTCTCCTGAGACATCGTGTGTGGTTCCCAAACCTCACCCTCTGGGTTAGGACTTTTCATTTCATAAAAGTAGTGATCAGTTGCTGAATGAGTTTTTCTGAAGGATTTTTCCTTGGTATCTGGATAATACCCAGCGTATTTACTTTTTATACTCCTTTCATTATATTCTTTCCCTGGCATGTGTGCCTTATGCTAAATTATAATTTGGGAGGCTTATTAAGCAAAGTGGTTTTTATTCATTAGATATATGGCAAACCATGTTTACCACTTCTGGGCCATGTTTATGGAGACACCATTCAGTAAAACTGTTGCTGTTATATCACCTCAAAAGGAATTTGATTTTAAAAACTCTCTATTAGAATGTTAAACGTAGACTGGAAAGTTTCCTTTCCACAGGCTTTATTTGCTGTCTTCTCTGAATCCCTTGGAAGGTGGTGCCCTCCTTGCCCTGAAGCTGCTCATTTGTAGGTGGTACTGTGCCAGGTGCTTGGAGCATTCTGTTGAAGTTCCTGTTAAGTGCAACCTCTGAGATTCTCTCATTCAGCGATCTGTTGCCTGTGAGTGAGTGGCAGCCCAGAAATTACAAACAAAATAAAACAAACAAACAAAAAACTAAGAGACTGCAAAGGGACATCCTTTTGATGTTCAAAACAGAAAAACCTGCATATTTTACAGCTTTATCCTAGTATTGAGTGTCCTCCCTTGTTACTGGGGAGTATGCCTCTTCATCAGCTCCTACGAGGCTTGTATGGGATGGGAAGGAGAGGAATAGAGTTAGTTTAAGCCCAAACGGATGAGTGAACTTTTGCACTGGAGTTGCAGTCAGGTGGCTGTGATGCCGCCAGTGGGCGGCGACTGACCCACGGGCTGGCCTTTCCTCTGACACTGCACACTCCACGGCCTCCTTTCCTGCTGGACTTAGAGGCGGCTGAAATCAATCAATCCCTGAACTGACGCAGAATAACTCATTGTTTCATGTTTTTTTTTCAATATTGTTTTAACAGACTGGTTGAAACATAATTACTTAAGGATTGTTTTTATAGGAAAATTAAGTAAACGTGAAGAAAACACAGCTGCATGCGTCAACTGCCACCCTGTAGCGACACGTTTACCCTTCAAATGTTCGGTTCCCTAATATTTAACACAAAGCACAATTAGAATAAGATTGTAAGACGTCTAAACCATGAGACACGTAATTACAGAGAAAGAGGATGCTGACTCATAAAGAATACGTTTCTCCATTCAAGTGGATTCCCCTGTCTTAATTCAAAGCTGAGCGTTCATGAGTAAGATTTCACTGTGATTGTATTTCTGTTCAGACTAAAGAAATGTTTGAAAAAATCAGTTCTGGAAAATTCTGATATCCCAGGAGAAATTGCTATATCTAGGTGCTTTTCCCTACAGTAGCGTATTTAATCCCTGTAACACCTTGTGTCACATAGGTGCTGTTTCCACGTCCTTAATTGTACAGTTGTAGAAACGCTCTTGGTTAAAGCCCCGCCACTAGTGAGACGCAGACCTGGGCTGTCCCCCAGGCAGTCCAACCACTGTCTGTGCTCAGAACCAGTTGTTTTGTTTCCAACCTTGCGAAGAGAAATAAAAAGTAAATAAATAAATAAAAGCTATTTTAATAGTTGGAGAAAGCAGGTTACTTACAGATAAAGTGTCTGCAGATAATTTTACCATAAAATATAAGTAATTCATCCATAGGGACAGCTGCCTTGAGTCATGCTTCTTAAGTGCCTGGCTCCGTGTTAAGTCCTTTCTACATATTTATTCCTTGACATGCTACATGACATAAAGGATCATAATCCTCTCTTTACTGATGACACACCTGTGAATTAGGGAAGTTAAGTAAGTACATACTGCAGGTGTAACACTGGTCCAAGCCACGGAGCTGAAGTTTGAACCACGCCTGTGCTCTTCCAGAGACCGTGTGTGTAATCACCGTTGCCAGGCTGCTTTCTCCGTGTCAGCCTTCACACACTCGTGCACCAACAGCTTGTACCCCTTTCCAGAATGAAGTTGGTGATGATGAAAAATGTTGACCAGGCCCAGAAGGTTTTATGTTGAGCAATATTTTGATATAAAATAGAGCATAAAAATAGCTCTAGTCATTCTTAAAAATCTGGCGAGAGATATATCTCATACTATATTTCACACTGTGTTGTAATATTATCCCAGAATTTTAACATCCTCATATAATCATATTTTGTCTGTAATTGGAAGACTGTGTAGCAAGAATAACTTTTTTTTTTTAGAAGTTAGGAAGTCAAAATTCTAGAGCAAGGATTTCATTTTTGCATGCAGAAAGAAGGTTATCACAATACCTATTCAACCGGATTAGTGTAATGAAATTTTTAACTTTATAGGAGAAGGAAATAACCTCAGAAGGTTGTCGTACTGAGAAAAAAAAATTATTTTAAAATATGAGAAAAATAAGAATATGAAATCAAATTCTTCATTCTATTGTCCTCTTTAACTTCATATAACAAGGATACTTTATTTTGGGAAAATGTAAGTATAGAAACCCAAGAGTAATTAAATCCATTCATGGATTTTGGTGTCAGGAAGACCTGGTGCTGTAGTTGCACCTGTGGATTTGGGTTTATCTTCTGTATGTCTCAGTGGATATAATAATAGAACTTTTCTCCAAGGAGTGTTACGAAATTCTGGATGTGTAAGAGCTCAGGCCATCTTTGGCTTATGCTGCATTATTGAGCATGCTGACTTTTCATATCAGTAGTAACTCCTTCCACATGTCTGGTGTGCTCTGTGAGGACCCTGTGCACTCCAGTGGGTCTCCTCACCCATCTATTTCATAATGCCCATTCTAACAGACCGCACAGATTGGCCCCTTCTTCCGCCTTCCCACTTCCAGTTAAAGGAAACAACATACAAGGGGCTTAGTCACTTTTGATTTTGAGGAATTTACAGAATCAATACATTAATCTGAAATAAAACATTCAATAAACATTTCCTATAGACTTCTTCATTTGAATTGGGTTTGATAAACACACAATTCCAAGTCTGGATAAATATTCAAAGTTACGTATTTCCAGGTTTGCATGAGTCCCCTTTGATGAAATGAAATTTTCATGAGTTAAAATTGGGAAAGTGAAAACTGAACGTGCTTCTGTAATGAAGCAACGTGAGTAACGTCAGAGCACGTAGCTCCCTTTGCTTCTCTTAGGGATGGAGTATGGCAGATACATCTTTCAATTTTCTGTCTCTGTTCTCATCTCAGAAAGTGGTCTTTTTCTTACATTTTGGGAAATAAGTAATTGGCATTGCATTTGAAAATAAGAGTACAAAGGAACTGTTCTCATGCACAAGTCTTATTTTATGACTGACTTTTATCGATTGGTCTCACTTTGTCTCTTCCTCTTTCTAAAATCAAGTCACTGTTATAGTTTCTGGGAAAGCCACAATATCTAGTTGGGGATTTATTATCTTTGGGAAATGCCAATTTTAAATTATATGACTACAGTGAATTATTATAGCTAATACATAATGAAAATAGCCATTGACAAACAACTTTATTCATTGGTCACAGTCCTTACTGGGATCAAATTTGTGGGCTCAATAATATTATTTCCACTTTAACATAAAACAAATTTGGAAGTTCACAGAAGTTAATTTAGCATAGTAAGCTAATTCTAATTTAATTACCAAGTACAACTTCAGCACTCTTTTTATAGAAAGGACAAAATTTTCTAACAAACACTTCAACTACTGTCCTTTCTTCAATTATCAGTAATATTCTTATATTTGTTTTTACTGTAGTTCCATCTTCCTACTTTCTATGGAGTAAGAGCCTATATAGAAGTGGTTCTCAACCTTCCTAATGCTGCAACAGTTCCTCATGTTGTGGTGACCCCCAACCATAAAATTATTTTCGCTAGAACTTCATAACTGTAATTTTGCTACAGTTATGAATCATAATGTAAATATCTGATATGCAGGATGTATTTTCATTGTTATAAAGGGGTCGTGACCCATAGGTTGAGAACCACTGCCCTATAGCCACTTAATTGCTTTCTCTTGGAAAAATATTTTTTTTGGTTTCTCTTGGAAAAATATTTTTTATTGCATAACAAGATGCCTCCCATTCTCAAGCAAGTATCCTTCAGCAATTGTGACAAGTTGTTTTTAGTATGTGAACTAAACCAGTGAGCTCAGGTTCAGATGAAATTTCCCTTTGCCCTTGGAAATGATCTTTCTAAAAGATTATTATTTATTTATTTATTGTATGCTTACTATGGAAGTATCACTCTGTTACTATAATTTCAAACAGAGAATAAACTGGCACCTTTGTAATTAAATCTGTAGAGCTCCTTTTATATTTTGGTGGAATATTTTGTTTCAAATGTATTTGCGATCTGGGCCTTTCTGAGACTCAAATATATTTGTAGAAGGAAGACACATATGAAACAGCAGAGCATCATCAGTGGAGAGGGTTAAGCACTTAAGTGTTTAGGCCAGAAAGCATATTTGGTAAGATGGAACTGCAAAATGTAGTTAACTTTGAACCCTGAGAATGGAATACCTCGTATTGAAAATTTTTAAGTCCCTAAAATTTCACTTTAAGAAAAGTAGAAGTAGCCTGTAACTGGTTCCTTTTTTTTTTTTTTTTAAATAAAAGCCATTCCTGTTCCTGACTTAAGAGGTAACACTGTCAATTAATATTGTGATGTGTGCACTCCTTTCTACACCATCTCTGTGATGTTGAGCTTAGCGTTAGGTCATTCCTGGTCCAAAGGAGGTAGAATCAGTTCAGGCTGTGGCTATGACCTGATTAAGCCAGGGAAAGCTTCCTAAAATAGAATGCAGGTGATACCCCTGGGTCAGTCTTAGCCTCAGCCCCAAGTCCCAGAACTGAATATTATATAGTGTTTTAATAAAATGACTTTCAAAATATTTTCTTTTCTTTAAATAGACGTTTTATCAAATAGTACAAGTAAAATTTATCATGATGCATGTCCCAAATTGTACTTGAATTATTCAGAAGCTATATTTGCCAGAATAGTTTTTTTTTCTTTGACATGGATTATTCTGTTGCCGCAGGCTAGAGTGCTGTGACATCAGCGTAGCTTACAACAACCTCAAACTCCTGAATTCAAGTGATCTTTCTGCCTCAACCTCCCTAGTAGCTGGGACTATAGGCACCCACCACGTTCGGCTAATTTTTCATATTGTTAGTAGAGAGAGTCTTGCTGTTGCTCAGGCTGGTCTGGAACTCCTAAGTACCAGCCATCCTCCCACCTTGGCCTCCCAGAATGCCAGGATTACAGGCGTGAGCCACTGTGCCCACCCCAGAATACTTCATCTCATTATTATTCCTCACTTTAAAATTTTCTTTCAGAACGGTACAAGAATTGCTGATGAGGAAAATGGGCATTTATAGATGTTGTTAGTTTAACTGCTTTATAGTAGAACCACGTATCCTTTCTAACATTCTGTTGGTAACATTTATTTTCGAATTAAGAAAACAAAGTTGCTGAGGTGCAGTTCTAAACCATTTTTTAAAAATATTTCTCTTACAAACTATCAAAACATGTATTTTTCTCAGGGACCAGCATGCTGATGATGTCAAAGATGACTTTGAAGAGAGAACAGAAAGTGAAATGAGGACATCGCATGAAGCCAGAGGTAACCCCAATATTTTCAGACTACCGACAGGTGTCACTACTCACGTTCAACAACCCAACACTTACCTGGAATACAGCAGTCATGTTTATATTAGAGATTAGCGTCACTGGTTGGCTTATTCTTTTTTGCAGGCAGTAAATTTTCATTGCTCAGGATGAATATAGCATGCTATTCATTTGTGGCCTGTGTTAACAGTCTCACATATTATTACGTGTTGTACTTATAAAGTTTAGTAAGACATTCTCGTTGGACTTTGTTGTACATTCTCTTCAGTATCATTGGTGTCATTTGCTTCGTAATGTTTAAAACGCAATTCACAATGTGTTTTGAAATCCAAATAGAATATAGTCTTAATACCACGAAATTCAAAGAAAATTACTTCAACAAATGTTTTAAGTTGCATTGGAGAAAGTCATTTGTCTTACGTCTTTATAAAAATGATAGTGCAATGATTTAATTAAGCAATGAAGTCTTAAAGACAGTTATGGTGTAAATTGAACATTTACTATATAATTATTTTTTATAAGAAAACATCCTTCTGATTATGATTTTAATGGTTGACTCTGGGTATTTTGCTCTGTGTGTACCTAGTTTTGTTTAGATCACTATATAAAATTTAGAATGCCACCTAATAACTGGCCTGCGGTGACCTGTTCCATAAGTTGTACATTAATTTCCACATCTGATTTTCTATAAAGCAGTAATTTATAATTAACTAAAAAGTTAGAATCAGTGCTGTCTCCACCATGTTTTGTGGGGTGTAATGTAGCAAGGTGTACCAACTGCAGACTGCCAGGGTTTGAGTCCTGCTCTGCCACCTGCTGGCTGTGTGATCGCAGACATGTCACTGAGTACCTCTCAGTGCCTCTGTTTATCTGTCCCAGGGAACAGTGATAGTATAGCTGTCTCATAAGATTGCAAAGAAGATTAAATGCAGCAACATTGTATAACTTGCTAGATTAGTGCCTGGCACCCAGAAAGTGCTATGCAAATATCTGATTATTTAAGATGTTTCTAATCATTTAAAAAGCAAGAAAAAAATGTATAAATGTTTTGTTATCAGACTATGTTGAATTGTTAGAGACTTCAGCCTTTGTTTGTAACTGGTGGTTTATCAGAGAGGTTAGGAACACTGCCTCCAAGTCTCTGCTCCACCACTTTCTAGCTGTGTGGTTGGCTCTGGACAAATTAACCTGTTTGCTTCTTACTTTCCTCTTATGTGTGTAAAACTGATGTAGTAATAGTGCCCTATGGCTGGATTATTGGGAGGGTTAAATGCACCAGTGGCTGGGATTTTTACTATTAGAGTGATTTTCAAACTGCAAGGAGGTTTTGGCCTAGGTTCAGTTGCCCACCGCAGAGACCCACCTACTGAGACAACAAAAATTGCCAAGGAAAAAAGGAAGTTTTTAAATACTAAAAGATGTCTTTTTGGAAGAATGAGAGAAACTGGCTCTTACCCTTCTGTGTGACCAAAAGAGTATAAAGGGGCTATCTTTTTAAGGAGGGGGCTACATGTACTGGGGCCTGTCAGTGAGGGAAGGTCAGTCTTGGCCTTAGGAAGATTCCTTCAGAATCTTCACTCTTTTCTCAGCCAGAAATTCCATTATTTGGGGGAAGCAACCTAGAAAGGCCATCAAGCCCCACTGGCTTGAGAATCCAAAACAGAAGAAGGGGAGGATTATAAAAAACATACAGAGGTCATTAAGTTAGTTTTAGACTTGCTTATGGAAGCCATAGTAGTAGCAGCATTGTGAAGTAAGTATCTATTGTGTGGAGTTATCTTATTGAAAGTTCTGATGGATTTGTGAGGGACGTCCATGGAAAGAAGCTCAACTCTACATGTAAAGTAATTTCGAGAGGTTTATTATGAACTGAATTTGAACCTGGAGCCATGTCCAAGAAGCCTTGAGTAAGTGGAATAGCTGTGGTTGAGTTACAGTTTAAGAAGAAAGTTATTGGACTTGAAGTTGTAAATAATACATGGAAGGCTGGGAGGCACCTGTGGCTCAGTAAGTAGGGCGCTGGCCCCATACACTGAGGGTGGCGGGTTCAAACCCATTCCCAGATAAAACTGCAACAAAAAACAACCAGGCGCTATGGCGGGCACCTGTAGTCCCAGCTACTCTGGAGGCTGAGGCAAGACAGTAGCCTAAGCCCAAGAGCTGAAGGTTGCTGTGAGCTGTGACACCATTGCACTCTACTGAGGGTGACAAAGTGTGACTGTGTCTCAAAAAAATTAATAAATAAAAAATAATACATGGAAGGCATACGTGGATTTGATCTGAAAAAGTGAGACAACTCAAAAAGGGGTAGGGCTTATGGGTAGGTTTAAAAACTTTTTGATTTGTAATAGGTTAAAGAATTGAAGCTTTGTCTAAAGGCTTGGAATCCTTTAAATTAAAATAAAGAAGTCTATTATAGATAACCCACCAACCATACTTAGACTTAAGTGATTGGTTATATATATTGAGGACTTACAGGTATGTCTTGCATAGCCTTAGGCCTGTTAATGAGTTACAAAAGACATCTCTAAAGGCTGGGGGGAGCCATGGTGAGGCAGATATGACCTCTTCTCATGACCACAACTCAGTTCGAGGGTATCCTTTTACCTAAGAGGAGGCCCATTCTGTCATCCGCTGGGGGAAAGCCTTAAGAATTTATAAAGTTCACAGGAAGTAATCATTGGATGTCATTTTTAGTTTCTTAGTGATCTTTGTAACTTTTCATCTTATTTGCTGAGCAAGTTTTGATAATTCTTTATCTGAAAATTTGCCATGATCTAGAGAAGTTCAGATTTGTTAATATATCTATGCCTGGTACTCTCTCTGTCATTTTGGGGGTAATTTTATGTTCTTTCTAATTTTGTATACATATTATCCCTATTTCTCTTGATTTGAATTGCCCAAATTTGTTATTTTTTCCAAAGAAACACTGTTAGGTTTCTATATAATTTTTAATTTTGATGTTTCCAAGGTCATTTATTTTTATTTTTTTACCTATACAACCTAAAGTTTAATATGCATACTTTATTTACTGTTTGACTTTTTACTAGTGAAAGAGAACCTCATAAAATAAGTTCTTTGGAGAATTTTCATACATATGTTTATGAGATTGGCCTATAATTTTCCTCTTTATTCTCCAATCCAGTATTAGTCTCCTAAAATGAGCTGAACTTCTCTTTTTCACATTTCTGAAAAACTTTGACTAAGACTGCTTCATAACGTTTCTTTTATCTGTTTAGTAATGAAATAATACAATTCTTGGCTTTTATTTAAGATCTTTTTCTTTCATCTTTTTGAAATTTTTTTTCTAGAATCATTTTGTTTGGAAGAGATTTGGATTTCATCTTCTCAACTCAGCATTCAGTAGTTAACTAACTGTCTTCACCTAAACCCTTGGGATCTTCAGTCCCAAACCAGATCTTATGGTATCTGTGGACTTTTGTTCCTAGGTGACGTTAGGAACATCTCAGATCCTAGTCAGTGGGTGTCCTCCTGCCTCTCACATGATGTAGTGTCTTTAATTGGGCTCTCTGGAAACAAACGCTGAGGCTGGGCATGGTGGCTCACACCTGTAATTCTGGCACTCTGAGAGGCTGAGGAGGGTGGATTGCCTAATCTCATAGGTTCGAGACCAGCCTGAGCAAGAGTGAGACCCTATCTCTAAAAATATCTGGGCATTGTGGCGGGTGCCTGTAGTCCCAGCTACTTGGGAGGCTGACGCAGGAGAATCATTTGAGCCCAAGAGCTTGAGGTTGCTGTAAGCTATGATATCAGAGAACTCTACCGGAGGGCAACAAAGTAAGACTCACTCTCAAAAACAAAAACAAAAATAAAAAGAAAGAAACAGACGCAGAAAGTGTTGTGTACAGGTTTGCTGGTAAGAATTCTTGGGAACAACGCCAGTGTGAAAATGAGAGATGAGGATTGAGTAGGAGTTGAGCTGTAACATCGTCACAGCAGAGACTTCGCTCATCTCAGGAGTTGCTCTGAGGGCCCAGATCGAGGCAAGGGAACCAGGCCTTTCTGACTCTGAATTGATCGATCTCAAATGTCGGCTTGGATGGGGACATTGGTCAAGGAAGCTCTCTTTGGCTTAGGACAGTTGCTGGGGACAGAGAGCAGCTCTGAGCATTCCATAGGTAGGAGAATGAATGCCCTCGTTCCAAAAAGCAGTCATGCTGGCCTACCACCTGGTTGTTTGGTCTTTGGTTTTTCTTGAAGAAAAAATCAAACAAAACAGAAAAGAAACAAACCAAAGTTTCCTTTCACCTATGTGGGATTAGGCCAGGTTGATTCAGTCTAGTCTTTTGGTTTTAAAAGATGAAGCTGGCTTTTTAAATTCAATCTTCTTTTGTCATTTTTGCCTAACAAGTTAAAGTGTCTTTGAGTTTTTAGACCCATGTTTCTTTAGAAAGTGTCTGTCAGAAAGAGTTTTGATATTACCTCTGCTTCGTTTGTTCTTTTTGTGACTGGTAGTATCTATTAATCTTAGGTTACATCCAAGGGATGATATTAAAAATATTTAATGGCTGTCCAAAATATTCAAAATATTAACAGCATTGCATAGGACAGATGAAACAGAAGACTTAGTGCTGGAGCGGGGTCCTGGGGGCTCCTTGCTGTGCTGGGAGTCACCCTTATATGCTGGGTCCGAAGGAAGGTCCCAAGATCCCAGCCATATGGTGGGAAGGAGACTGTCACCAGCCAGTATGGAAGTGTATTAATATCCTAACAACTGACGCATTCCTTGATGTCTACACGTGTTTCTCCAGGGCAGTAGCTCCCTCCTTCTTCAGCGGCGAGGTCTCCTATTCTAGGCCGATAACGTGGGTTCCTACAGCAGCATCTGTATTTGCCTGTGATTCCCTACATGGTCGCCCTCTCTTTTCATCTCCTGTTTTTGTTTTGCAGAAACTATTTACTTTGTGCATTACTAAAACCAGGAACAACTTCTGCCAGTAAATCAACTCTGTTCTCCTGGTATTTTGTAGAGCTTTTTAAACAAGGCCCCATGCTGATTATTTTCTGTTATATCATTTTTGAGACCAGAGAAGTTTCCTCAGGACTCTTAAGAATGCTTAGTGTTTAACGCTCCCATTTGAGTCCGGGCTCGATTCTTCTTTTAGATGGGGGCTTCATTCTCAGCCCCCTTGCTGGGCCAATAGGGGCTCACCAGTGCTTGTTCACAGTTCCACTCCCCCCATGGCAGCAGCGGCCCTTCCAAATCTAGCCTGTTTTGGGTAGGGGAGAAGCCCCCCTGTCTTTCTTTACAATGTCAGTGGGTTTTCAGACTCAATAGGTCCATGAGGACTGTTTTATCTTGAAGCAAATTGATTTAAAAAAAAAAAAAAACCAGACAAACTTTATTTGTCCTTAGGAAAGTACCCTAAGTTAATGCAGTTCAGATTAGTACACTATATGTGATTATGAGCCCTTTGGGATGATGGCAGCCATGCTGCAGAATTTGGTACTTAGAGACTTTTACTGAACATAATCTGTTCCTTTCTTCATCTTCATTTTCCTCCTCCTCTTCTCCACTTTTCCCTCCTTCTGGAGGATGGTGAGAGGCAGAAATTCCCTGGGAACAAAGGTTATTTTATCCTGAAGATAAAGTCTCCCAGGTAATCTCTCAGAAGAGTGGATGAGAACTCTGTCAGAGTGGTGATAACTTTTCTGGATTAAATTTTTCCTGGTTATTTGGTGAGATTCTTAGGGAGGACGTGTCCTAAGACAGTTAAGAAGTTGCCCACAACGTCTTCCTTGGAATGTTTTGTGGCTTCGGTAGCATGTCAGTGTGTGATGAGAGGGAAGCAGCTCGTCTCACCAGAGGACGCCCTCTGACCTGTCCAGAGAGCATTCTGCTGCCTTGCAGAACGCTGGGGGGCACCTCCTAATGGGGATTAGGGCATGAATGTTTGCATTTTGGATATAAAAGGAGATCCAGACAGTCCAGTCCCAACACTGTGGAGCTTCTCAGGGCTGGGGGTCAGGGATCCTTGATGATGCTGCATTCTAAGACTAGAAGCTACTTTTCAGGTGACCCCGTCTGACTTCTAGGTAGATTTGGTTCTTCAGATTTGGTGCAAAAAGTCTTCTTTCCTCAAATTAGACCTCACATTTGACCCCACAGTCTGACTACTAGGCATCTACCCAGAAGAAAAAAAAAACAACATTTTATCATAAGGGCGTATGTACTGGATCAGTGGTTCTCAACCTGTGGGTTTTGACCCACAGGAAGTGTATTAAAGGGCCGCGGCATTAGGAAGGTTGAGAACCACTGCACTAGGTTGTTTATTGCAGCTCAATTTACGATTGCCAAGATGTGGAAACAACCTAAATGCCACCAACCCAGGATGGATTAACAAACTGATATATGTATACCATGGAATACAGATGAAGACGGTAACGTCACATCTTTTGTATTAACTTGGGTGGAGTTGAAACACATTCTTCTTAGTAAAGTATCACAAGAATGGAAAACCAAATATCCAACCAAATATCCAACATACTTATACAAATATAAAGCCAGTAGATGATCTAATTCATGGCCACATAGGAGAAAAACTCAATTCAAGTTGAGGGGAGGGGGCATTGGGGTGCTCCCACTTAATGGATACAATGTAGGGGTGTAGGACACACCTCTTGGGTGAGAGACACAGCTACAAGAGGGATTCTACCTAACAAATTTAAAGAATCTAGTCCTTATGTCCTTATGCTTCCCATACATGACCAGGGAGTCTTTAGTGTGTGTCTCTGACATACATGTGCATATCCGTCACTAAGCGTTTTTTTAAAGAAAAATAGTGGTGACTTGTTGAATATTAGTCTGAGTAGATTGATTTGCTCATAAATAATGCTTATTATTTTTTACATTATAGTACATTTTACTGTACTATCAGGTTTCTCTTAATTCTTTCTCATCCTGCCACTTTTGAAGATGATGCCTTCAGTTTTACAAATAAAATTTATCAATTGCTGGGCTAAGAATGAGGACGGAGGCACACTTTCCTACTACATAGAGTGAACAGTGACAAGTGTTAGAAGAACGTAAATGGTTACAGAATATAAGGCTTTGGAAAAGACTTACTTATGCAGCAAGAAATCAGGAATCAAATTATTAAGTAAGCCCCACTGTTTTACTCGAGTGTGGAATTGAAAATCTATTTATTATAAGCCTATCTTATAAGTAATATGTACAGATATTATATTTCACATAATAGCTAAGCTGCAAATATCAGGCATTAAAGGAATGTTTTTAAAATATCCCATATTTTGCTAAAAAATGTACCTTTAAACTTTATAAAGAAAAAATTAAAACAAACTGGTTTGGGTTTATATATTTTATTCATAATAGATATACAGTAAAATAGGATGGGGACCTATAATCTTGAGATTGCTTGAATGAAATGTAGAAGGAAGGATAATGATAGCTTTTAAAAATATATTCAAAGATTTGACATGTTTCATGTGGGGCAGACATTAGAAATTTCTATATGAGCTCAACAGGGTAGAACCAGAAACCAATAAGATAGATTTTTGACTCAGCATAGTGAATCTGTAACATTCAGAGCAATTCAAACTTTAGATTAGGCTAACTTAAGTAAAGTTATTAGAGAACTACAACTGTAACTGCATCAGATGTGTTGTGGGAAAAAAATTACCGGTGGAGAGCTTAATCTAAAAGTTTAAATTTTTGTTTGTTTGTTTTTTTTTATAAGCTGGCTGGACAATTAGAAATCCATATGGGAAAAAAACAAAATATTGACCCTCCCCTAATATATACACAAAAAATAAATTTCAGATGGATTGTAAATCTGATGTGGAAGGTAGAGCATAAAATGTTCAGGAGAAAATGAAGGTGACTCTTCATGATCAGAGGGTAAGCAAGGATTTCTTCAGCGGACATATAAGGTATTTACCACCAAAGAAAAAAGTTAACAAAGCACACATTAGTACAATGACTTCTGTTTTTCAAAAGACCCTAGTAAGAGAGTAAAAATGAAGATAACAGTAGGAGGAGATATTTATATATTCAACAAAGGACTTTACCCAGAATACACACACTCACACACATATGTATTATAGATACCATTTATAAATCAGTAAGGAAAAGGTAAGACAACCCAATAGAAAAATGGGCATAAGACACAAAGACACTGTATATAGAAAATAAGCATGATGACATTCCCAACTTTATTCATCATCAGATCAATAACCACAATGTGATACCAGTGTACACCCACCACAATGGTAATGAAAAGATTGTACCATGTATGGATGTGGATATGCAGCAAATTAGCACTCTCATATGCATGGGGTATTGTACCACTGCTTTGAGAAAACTGGCAGGATTTGCCAGAGCTTAATGTACACAAAGCTCTGACCCAGAAGTTTCACTCCTTGGTATATTTGCAGTGGAAATGTATACATAGGTTTAAAAAAAGAAATGTGTGAGGATATTTGTAATACTACTGCTTATAGTAGCCCAGAATTTTAAAAACTCAAAGGCCCATCATCTCCAAATTCAAATTCCAGAATATTCATGACCGTGAAATAAAATACAACCAACAGAAAGTGAACTTCAGCTACTGCACAGCAGTGTGGATAGATCTCAGAAACCTGTATTTGAGAGCAAGAAGGTGAACACCACAATTTGCAGTGTAAATGCAATTCAGAAACAGGGTAAAAGCATCTACGGTGTTAGTAGTCAGGGGCCAGGTCCCCCTGGATGGGTTGGGTGTGCTGGAGAGGGTGTGCCGGCCACATTCAGAGTATTGGTTACCTGGATGTGTTCACTTTGTGAAAAGTCAGTGATTCAGTGACCTTTACACATAGAATTTGTGCACCTTTCTATAAATGTATTCTTCAAGGAAAAAAAAAACTTAAAAATATTCTTAGAGATACGAAAGGAGGGTTTGTGAAGGAATTGATCTGTCACTGTAGCTGAGCTGCAGTGTGGGTCAGTGTGGGAGAGTTGCCCTTCTGTGAGGTGCTCTGACTAAGTGGTTTCCAGAAAAGGCTTCTGTTCTGAAGGATCAGAAGGAGATGATTATTGACAGTCCCAGGGACAAAAATCATTTACTAAAAAATGGCCACTTTCGGAAAGCAGCAGTTACTAAGGTTTCGATTCAGAAGCTCTAACCCGTGAACAGAATAGTCAGTAGTTTTCATTTCAGTCTGCACAGTGACAAAAGGCTTTGCCTTTCTGCTGTTTTGTGATTTTTATTGCAGTAGTTTCATATCCCTTAAAAGACTGAGTTGGCTATTTAAAAAGCCAGTCTGATCAGTAAATAAAAGTTAATACAAACCCCACCTGAGACAAAAGGCAAGCACAAGCACAGTAACTACTCAGTAAACGTGTACAACTTGGCTGTTACCTTTACAACACTCAAAGGAGAGAGGGGAACAGCTACGATCTCCTAAGATGAGAGTTATTTTCCTTGTCACCAAAACCTTGAAGCACATTTCTTACCTGAAGTGTGAAGGAGGCAACATTGACCAGCTTAGGACAGCAAGTCTTACTGGTGCTGTAGCAAACAGGGGAGTTGAATTTATAGCTTGTTTTTCACAGCAACCTTCCATGAAGACAAAGGCGGAGGTAATTATTCAAGGAGTGTAATGCTGGGAGGAATCAGTGCTTAACTAACCGACCTGTCTCGTTCCCCAAGGGAGATGCGCTGTCTGGGGGGCTGGCTTGCTGCTCTGCAGAGAGTGATTCCCATTTGTTTCAATTGACCAGGTGTCCGGGAAGAACCAGCCATGCAGCAGGCCCAGCGCAGGTCAGCCGTCTTTCTGTCCTTCAAGTCGCCGATCCCATGCCTGCCGCTGCGCTGGGAGCAGCAAAGCAAGCTTCTTCCAACGGTTGCTGGAATCCCTGCCAGTAAAGTTTCCAAGTGGAGCACCGATGAGGTACACTTCCTACTCTTTGTCTTCGGGCCCCAGACATGGTTGGCTGAAGGAGAGGCGGGCACGTGGAGCCTATGGAGGATTTCGTCTTTTTTTTCTTTCTGGGAGTGAAGCAGTCATTCTGAGAAAAACACCTAAAAACAAAGAGGTTAAATGTTTTGGACCTGTAGCATTTAGATTCCGAGCTTTTTTGTTTAACTGGAAATTTGTGCTATTATCTTTGGCAGGTGTCAGAATTCATACAGAGCTTACCTGGGTGTGAAGAACACGGAAAAGTATTTAAAGATGAAGTAAGTGTTCCACCAAACTGCAGCCTTACTTAATGGGAACATAGTGCCGAAGCGGAGTGAATGGTGATGTGTGGAACTGTCAGGAGTCAGGAAGAGATAAGAGTGTGTTAAAAACTGATCAGTTGATGCGTCGTCGGCTAACAGGCAGCATTAATCAGTTGTATCAAAAGACCTTTGTATGAGATGACATGCAAAGAATGTTTGTAAATTCTACTTTCCGATGCCCCATAGTCTAGTCTAGTGTCTAGCAGTGACACTGGACTCCTTATTAAAAGAAGCTCAACGAAACTAAATAGCATGCATTTATATAATTTATATCATAGAAAGAAACCAAAGAAATAAGCAGCATTTTGATAATAAAATGAGATTAGTTCCCATTATTTTATTTTCACATGTCATTCTAACACCAAGGTTAACTCCATTTGCTGCTTGTAATAAATAATATTACCATTATTGCTAAAAAAAAAAAAACCTTTAAATCTTACACATTTCTCAGTAATGTTTATAATAACATATTTATCATAGCCTGCTTTAGGAGGACATTGTATTAGTTGTTTTCAACAACATTGCCAAAATTTCAATAGAAGGCACGGTTAATAATATCATATATGATTCTAGTGAATAAAAAGGAATCTGGTTTCGAACTACACTAAAGATAATATTGTTGGAGAGCAGGAGACCCTTTTCTCTAGAAACCTTTAAAAACACGCCACTTGCCTGTCATCTCTTCCAAGCAGATCAGTAGTTATCAGTCTGATTGTGACTCTGTGATGTTGCCAGAAGGCGGGAAGTAGGCAGAACATAGTCTCAGGCTTTCTCCAGCATCTGCCGTCTACAATTACTCACATGCACACCTTGCTGGCCTGTGTCTAAACGTGACCTGTTAGGAACAGCATTCTCCCAATTTCACTGCAGATGTGTGCAGAGAACTAAGAATCCAGGCACCAGTCATCAGTGTGTTATACTATCAAATATAGCTTACGCCTCAGACGAATGCCTGTGAAAATGTACAAGGATCTGGCTTTCATCGTCCTTTTGCTGACTTATGTGATTGCAGAAATGTTTTATCTTCTTTCTAGTTGATTTTCATTTAGCAGTTATTCAGATTTCAAGTTTCTTTCCTTCATTCCTCAATTATCTTCATAGACCACTCTCAATTAACGTTCTATTCCTGAACAGACTTAGATCCACATGGGGAAGTGTTCCTCTTTCTCAGAGAGAGTTGTTTCGTCCATTACCTTTGAAAATGATAAAGCAGTTATTTTTTGAGATGGTGTCTCACTTTGTTGCCCTCGGTAGAGTGCCATGGCATCATAGCTCACAGCAACCTCCAATTCTTGGGTTCAAGTGATCCTCTACTCTTAGCCTCCCGAGTAGCTGGCACCTGCCACAACCCCAGGCTATTTTTAGAAATGGGATCTCACTCTTAGCTCAGACTGGTTTCAAACTCCTGTTCTCAGGCAAAGCCCCAGCCTTGGCCTCCCAGAGTCCTAGGAATATAGGCATGAGCCATCATACATGGTGGATAAAGCATTTTTTAAAATAAACACATACCCCACCCATTTATAAATTCCTCTGTTGATTCTGTTGATATTTAGATAATCCTTATAGGTTTGCTCTATTACACATTGCTGACCGGTCATGAGTTACCCACTAACATGGATGGTTTCTTTGTAAAGTTGCGAGTGTTTACATGTGTTACCATGGCAGCTGTTCCCTGATTAGTTCCTCCCAGTTGTCCCAAATTCATCCTATTTTATTCTTTCTCCCCTCCTCATCTCTCAGCTGCTTATAGAATAGAATCACTTTGTGCCTCTAACATCTTAACACATTGTTAACTGGCAGTTTTATGCAATAACTTTCCATGTTACTGGGTCACTCGTTACTGGTTAGCAATGTGTCAAGAAAGATAGAAGTTCAAATTCAAAATAATTCAGTATTTCTTTGAATAATTTTTTTTCATGGCATATGATCTTTGGAGATGTTTCTCAGGTACTAAAGACTCCTCTTTGGAAAAGTGGAACAGTTAACGTTCTGTCTCATACTTATTATTCATCTTGTAAATGTTTGTTAAATACCATGTGTATGTTAGTCTGTGTAATGCTCTGGTGAGAGGATGATTCAAAAATAATTAAACAAGGGTGGGTGCGGTGGCTCACACCCGTAATCCTATCACTCTGGCAGGCCGAGGTGGGTGGATCGCCTGAGCTCACAGATTCAAGAACAACCTGAGCTAGAAGGAGACCCCAAATCTAAAAATAGTCAGGCGGGGCTGGGCATGGTGGCTCACGCCTATAATCCCAGCACTTGGGAGGCCAAGGAGGTGGCTTGCCTGAGCTCACAAGTTTGAGACCAGCCTGAGCCAGAGTGAGACTCTGTATCTAAAAATAGCCAGGTGTTGTGGCAGGTGCCTGTAGTCTCAGCTACTCTGGAGGCTGAGGCGGGAAAATTGCTTGAGCCCAAGAGGCTGAGGTTGGTGTGAGCTATGACACTCTACCAAGGGCGACTAAAGAGACTCTGCCCCCCACTGAAATGAATAAATAATAATAATAATAAAATTGTCATTGCATTCAAGTGTGTCATACGGTCTGTGGATATTGGTTTTCGGTCCTAGAAGTAAACCATAACACAGCTAATGAAGTCATGTAAATTATCTCTAAAAGGCAGTATAACAAGTACTGAGATAGGCCGTTGGGGAAGTCTTTGCCTTCTCTCTTAGATACTTCACATCTAATCTGATGAACACTATTGGGTGTGTTATAAAAGACGCCAACTCTCTGCCCCACCACTGCCAGCGCAGTCTCAACCACCACACTGCCCAGCGGGATTAATGTGGTAACCTCCTCACAGGGTTCCCTGCTTCTGTTTTTGCTCCTCTCCAATCTCTTCCCAGCACAGCCAGGGTGATCCTGCTGAAACAGAAGTCAAATCATGTCACTCCTCTGTTCACATCCTCCCAGTAGCTTCACATCTCAGTCAGAGCAAAATCTGACATCCTCAGAGTGACACCACGTGGCCTCTCTCTCTCCTGCCTCCTTGTTTGCACTGCCCCTCACAGTTCTGCACACTGGCCTCCTTGCTGTCCTCAGATGGTCCTGGTGTGTTCCCGCTTCTCCCTCCGCCTGGTGTGCTCCTCCCCTGGAGGCTCACAGGGTGCAGTCTCTGCCCAGATGCAGCCTCTCCATCAGTCCCGCTCTGGCTGCCCTCTCCCAGCCAGCTGTTTTTCATAACACTAATCACCTTCTGATTTACTAATTAATAGGCTTGTATATTATGCTTATTGCTTATAATCTCCCCCTACTAAAATGTAAACTTCACAAAGAATTTTTGCTTGCTTGCTTCCTTGTTTTTGTTTTATTCTTTGTGTGCCCAAGCCCAAGAAAAGTGTTTGAATATACTAGATGTTTAGTACGTTTTTCTGAGTGAATACTTTTACGCCATGTCACTGTGGTTTAGAGATAAAGTACTGGGACAGAAGACTAGTGCTCAGTGGAGAGGCCAGTGACGTGGAAGCAACAGCTCCTAAAATCCAAACTCTTTGACCTCATTTTAGGCCTTTAACAAGACATCTAATCGCTAGAGTTATACTGCTACATATGCATTTCAGAGGCAAACAAACAAAAATCAGCCTAGCAGTACATTGCAGTGGTCACTGTTGTTCTTAGAAGGTTCTTTTTAAAATGTACTTCCTTCCACTCAAGGCTTGTTCTTATGGCCACACATCAGAGCAACCTGTACGTAACATACCAAGTCTGGCATTAGCCATAAGATTTTGCTTTCTAGTATAACCTCCTGATAAGTAATAATCTACCAAAAATTGCCCTTCTCCCTCCACTCTTAATTTCAAATCCCAGCCTCTCAGTTCTCTGAACATTCCTTTTTATCAGTCATCTGTCATGCTGAACTCTCACGTGGTCTCAGAAGGAAAGTCAGTTGCTGCTATAAGCCTTCAGTAGGGCTCAAGGTTATAATAAACCAGTCAGTCTTGGTCGTGAGCTCCTTGGAAATGGGTGTGTTAGCTGACGCCTTCATCAATGACTTAGAAGGCTTCTGTCGAGCTGTGCGTTCCACTGAGGCCTGCCTGGGTTGAGGGCAGTGTTAGTAGACCTGCCCTTCTTCCTGACCTTTATCAAACTGCTTTCATAGCTCAAGCAAATGAGACCAGAGCAAATGTTTCCAAGGAGCAGTAGAATATTTTTCATATCTGCCATTTAGCTGTGTTATTGTTAGAGATTAACACCGGAATGTCTTTTCTTCTAATTTACAACAGCAGCAGGACATTTTCTTTTTTTTTACCAAAGTTAGCAGCCGTTTTCCCACATGATTGGTACCCCACGCTGTGTAAGACGACTCTGGTTTTTACTGATTAAGTATACAGTCATTTTAGATTTACAGACTTTTCATTTTTGGAGGAGAGAAGAAAATCCTAACAAATAGCTACTTAATCATACCAGCCTTCATGGAGAAAACTTTTTGTAGAATTAGAGTCCGGTTAGTTTACTGGGGCGACCATGACAAATACCACAAATTGGTGGCTTAAGGCCGGAATTGATCGTCTCACAGTTGTAGAGCAGAATGGAAGTCGAGGTGTTCTCGGAGTTGCTGTCTTCCAAGGGCTGTGAGGAAAGAATCCTCCCAGGTCCTCCTTTGACTTAGAGGTGGTGTTCCCTTTGCATATTCACAATGTCACCCCTCCGTGTGTATCTGGCTCTACGTCCAAACTTTCTCTTTTTACAAGGACGCCAGTCAGTCCCACTGGGTTAGGTGCTCACCCTACACCTCTGTGACCGCATCTTAACTAGCTACATCTGCATCAGCCAGTTTCCCAGTAGGAACTTTGGGGGTGGAGATCAGAGTTCCACCCCTAACAGAGGATTCTGCTATCAAGGTTTCTGATGTACTATGAGGCAGAGAACAAAGCGTGTTTAGGAAAACCGACAAAAGCAGTGAATTAGTTTAAGGTGGTGGAGCTCCCTGTGAGCGGAAAGTTGTGCAAAAGACTGTGCTCCTTCGGTCTGCCCATCAGCCCAGACAGCACCTTCACGGTGTTCTGTCTCTGAACCTCAACAGTATGTTTTATCTTTGAAATTCTAGACAACAGTAGCCTGTAAGCTCAAGAAACATAGGCTGTTTGTCTTCAAGGAGGCTGAGAGAGAGGAAGGGTCTTTCTCATGGTTACCCCAGTGCTAGAGCAGGCTGGAGTCTGCACCTTTTAACGGCAGTCACACTTTCTTCCGGCTACTACTGATTAAATGCCTTTCTTTTGTATGTAAAGACTCACTGTGGACACAGTGGATGTGTTATCTTTCTGATTTTTTTTCTTCATGGAGGAAGGCTAATTAAAAAAAAAAAAACCAGCATGTACCTGATGTATTTGCGTGAGTTATTTTATATCCACAAATATTCATGTACATGCTATCGTTTCTAACTTAAAAACCTACCCTGGTATGAACTGGATTGAGGGTACTCAGACTTGTCCTTATTCTTCCTGACTTCTCCTGGTTTGGAGTAACCACAGTATGGTACGAGCATTCTGTTTTCCTGTGGGCTGATTCTTCACCTGAGTGCATTTACTGTGTTGCAGTCCATGTGGGTGTGGTGGTGTATGTGTAGAAAAGAGTGGCCCACGTCGGGAAAGGGTGCACACATAAACTCCTACGTGTGCCTTTTTAGAAGAAAGCTGGTAACATCTTTGAATATTTCCTACAATGCTGTATCTGATTAATCCATATTTTTTTATTCCCCCCACCTCAGCAAATTGACGGAGAAGCATTTCTACTTATGACCCAAACGGACATTGTTAAAATCATGAGTATTAAGCTGGGCCCTGCTCTCAAAATTTTCAATTCTATCCTGATGTTTAAAGCTGCAGAGAAGAATTCTCACAATGAACTTTGAAGATAGTGAATTCTGAATTCTATCAACTTTCGGCTTTAAAGCTCATGTTTTATTCAAAGCACAAGGATGGTTGTAACTCCTACATGAGAATTCTCCAAAACTCAAAAAAAGAGCAACACTATCGAATTATTTATATTCCTCGAAAGACAATGTATATGAATTCTTCTGAAAGTGCTTGAGCTTTTAACCAGGTACTGTCTAACAACAGGCATCTTTTGGTTCTGTTCACTGAGCTAAATTTATCTTTGTAAATCTTTTTGAGGCTGGGGGGTGGGGGGCCGAAGGGACTTCATTATTTATGGATGGGGGGGAGAGTAAGAACTTTTGGCATTTTGTAAACATTGTTGAATTCTCTTTCATGTACACTGTTTCTTTTTCAATACTTTCGGAGACCTTTTTATATAATCAATTTCAAATTAAACCAAATTAGTCAAAACCTGGCTAAGTTTAGCCAGTGGGACTGTTATCTGTATTAATTTTGTGCCATATTTTGAATTGCAACATTATGCTAAGTATAACTTTGCAAGTCATGATATTGCCTAACTGCTCATCCTAATTTGTTGAGGCTGAATAGTTGTAAAAATGACTTTTCTTTCAATCAGTGTTTTTTACTTTTGCACGCATTATGAAATGTTAAATTACTTTTCACCAGCATCTTTACTATAATTACCAAAAACATGTATATAAAAGAATGGAATCGAAAAATGAAATATATAAACATAAATAAATTAGGTAGTGTATTTGAGTGGCATCAGCCTCCCTCATCATGGTGCCCGTGTGTTTACAAGAATCAGACAGCATCAGAGGAATATGCAGTTACACTGGGGGAATGTACCAGAGGACCTTGAACTATTAATACGGGAGGACTTTGAGCTTTTCTCTACTTGTTGAAGCAACTAGGGTGCTTTACAGACACCAAAGGCTCATTCTGTTGATAGAAACACTAATCTGTAAAGAGCTCGGATTCAGGTCTTAACAGCGTCCTCCAAACCCAAAGGTTTCCACTCAGCTTGACTGAAGAGCGAACCTCTAGATATTCCTGAGAAGACAAGGTGTGAAGAAACACCACCAGTTGACAAAAAATCCTAAATGCTCACAGATCAGTAAGGAGATTTCCCAAAGCAGTTAGTGATTCAAGAACCTCCCCTTTGGAAGGGTTCCTTTTTCTGTAGAATACTTTGCCTCGATATATAAACATACAGATGCACTTTAAATGAAAACCTTGATTATAACTGATAGCTGGTAGTGTTTCTTTTGTAAGAATGCATTTCTAAGGCAAAAGGTAAATTATTTTGTCAGTCTTTTGATGTACTTTCCATTTCCAGGAATGGATATTTATTCCAGGACTATTTTAAAAGTAGAAAGTAAAAGTTTGTAGCATGCTGTCTGAATTCTGGGGAGAGTTTCACCCCCTTCCTTCGTTGCTTTCATTCTGTCTGATGTCCGACTTCCTTTGATGTCCCCTGTTGGAAATCTAATAGCAGTCTTTTGCATTTGTCATAATTCAAGGTAAAACAGGGTCTGAGACATCACAGGGTCCCGTTCGTTTCTTTGCATGAATCTACTTAAATAAGTTTTTTACTGTTTTTTTTTTCCCTTTTTTATGTTTTGTTCAGAATTTGTACATTCAAGTTGCACTTGTTATATCTGATATGAATGAAATAAAATCTTAATTGCAGATGCTTTTCTACATATGGATGATTTTTAAGAAAGCTTGTCAAATGGAGGGGGGTGGTGAAAACGGGACCCACATCAAACGCATGGGCGTTATGTACCCGGGTGATGAATCTGGAGCGTTCAGAACCGTTTGTCAAACTATATCCCAAGACGATGTGATGAGTGAGAAAAAGATTTAAAAACCATGTTGTTAGGTCATGTAGCATTCATTCCCACTGGAAATTTTTCCTATCTTTTTTAAAGCCTTTTTAAAGTAAAAAGGCTTTTAAATTTTATTAAAAGCATCCGCTCGTTCAATAATTTACATGACCTCTTAAACATTTTAAAAATTTGAGGAAGTAACCCAGGAAATGCTCACTCCATTGTGATATAGGTATTAACACATTTAAATCTCTTTTCAGTTCTCAAAAAGATCTTTCAAAACTAATAAGTAACATTGATATTTGAATTTTTTTTTTTTTTTTTTTT